GGAAGAGCAGGAGGAGGAAGGCAGGGGATGCTGCCCATCCATGGTGCTGCCTGCTCTTCGATGGACAGAAGAGCAATCCCATCTCTCTGCAGCCCTGATGGACAGGAAGGAAAAAAGAGAAGCTTAAAAATATGCTCATTGCATTAAGTGCCATCAGTGATCCCACCGTGGCCTGGCTTGGAGCTGCTTTGGAACTTACTCTTTAATAAACACCCTGTAGGAAGCAGGGATGGCATCAGCTCTTCCCAAACCCTGCTCCTCTATGCAAATGGCTCTGTGCATAATTTAAGTTCTGTGTTGCTTGTGCTGAGTAACCCTCTCCTCTTGAGCTAAAAAAAGGATGAGGAGGGGGAGTTTCTTTTTCCAAGCCTTTTTTTTTTTTTTTTTTTTTTTTGCTGTTTCCTTCCCAAAGCCATGGGCAAGGAGGTGTTCCTAGGGCACCTACTGCAGCATAGCATCCCATGGTGGCCATGAGTAGCATTCCAGGTCATCAGATGAGCCACATCCAGCACTGGAAGCCAGCTGGTAAAAAAATGAAGGTTTTGATGTAAGGATGAGGTTGGGATGAGTCCCACCGGCGCTGATCCTGACACCCCAGGACTTTGGCCATAGGCTTTGCTGAAGGCAAGGTCCCTCCTGGCTCAAGTGGCACTGGGGACGCAGCTCTACTCCTCCCCAAGGCCACTGCATCAAAGCCAACAGCTTTGCTTTTCCCTGCTCATTACTATTATTTTTTTTTTTTCCCTTTCAAGAGCCACCATGTTTTAATTATTTATTTGGAGCATGATTAATGTTTTGTCTGATGCTGTTCCGCCAGGGGAGCCCCGGTACATTTTGGTTTAGCGAGAGCTAATTAAGAAGTCCCATCAAGCATGTCATCCCTTGTCTTACAAGCACCTCCAGGGCTGCTCTGACATGGCTGCGTTCCTGCAGGCTCGGCTGGATCTAGGACCATCATGAGAGCCCTGGGGGGACTGATGGGGCCTGGGGCTCTGCTGGGGGGTCCCTGCAGCTGTCTCCATCTGGGGAACTTCTGGCTTCCCAATGAAAGGGATGTGGGGCTGTGAGAATTTTGTCCCTGTTCTCTTGTCCCCAGAGGCGAGTGCAAAAGTCAGTCTTGGCCACCCTGAAAGGGAGTGCTGCTTGCTTCAGCCACATCCCACAGTGGGGACAGGACCTAGAGGGCTGCTGGTTAAAGTTGGGTGATGTTCTTGGCCTCAACTCCACCCCTTTTGATTGCATTCCAGGTGAAAGCTTTGCAGCATCCTCAATGGGAATGAAGCACAAGGAGATGGCAACTGCAGAGGTGCTGTGACGTAAGGCCACCACATTGTCTCTGCTTGGCACTGGTCCCTGTGTCTTGGCAGTGTGCAGGATTAAAAGGGCAAGAAGGGGAGAGCCTCAACATCTGTGTGGGACGTGGTGACACGAGTGTGTGTGGGCACCCACTGCCACCCAGTGGTGGAGAGCACCCGGTCACTGAGCAGCAGGGTGCAGAATGCAGTAAATATTTGTGTATGTTACCCACAAGGGTAGCAAAGGTTTAGGTCGAGCTCAGCCACGGCCACCAGAGGACCAGACCTGAATTTCCTCCTTCAGCTCAGGAAGGATAGCAGGGTGAAGTAGTTGGATGTGTCTTGATGGAGAAAACCCATCCTGATGGGCACTGTGTGACTGCTCCAGCACCCAGGTGACATGTGAGGAGTGGTGGCAGTGTAGTTTGCTGAGCTGGAGCTGGTGCACTGCATGGCTCAGCCACTGTGTCTGGGCAGAGGACACAGGTGGGACCTGGTGACCTTCACCCAAGATCTGCCACACTGTGCACAATCAGCCCCACTTGAGGCCTCTACCAGTTTGTGGGCTTGCGAGCCCATATGAGCTCAGCTTGGGGTTGGTAGTGCCTGTCTGAGCTGTGCTGTGGGATTGCTCACGTCCGTGCCTATGTGCAAGTCTATATCCATGTCTACATCCATGTCCATGCTGATGTCTGTATCCGTGTCCATGCCAATCCATCCATTTTCATGCCCTTGCCTAGGTGCAAGGCCGTATCCATGTCCCTAGCCATGTCTGTGTACAAGACTATTCTCATGCCCACATCCATGCCCATATCCCAGTCTACATCCATGCCCCGTGGACACTTGACCATGCCCCACTGATTCTTTCCACTTGTTCCCACTGTGATCTGGACTGGCCTTATCCTCGCCACCCTGCCTCAAGATATGGGCTGCACACTGCCGCCAGATGCCACTCAGTCCCCCTCATCCCTCATGGGGATGCTGGGACAGCTCATTCCCATCTCCCCATTCAGCAGGCAGGACCCAGGGATCCAGGCTTACACATCTCCACCCCATGGGTACCAAGAGAGCACAGTGACAACAACCCCAGGAGAGAGATGGGAAGAATTTGGGGGGATGGAAGCTGTTGCAAGTAATGCATTTTCTGTCTGCAAGGAGATAACCTCCAGCAGGTGTTACCCAGCTCTGCAGCATGCAGAGGCAGATGGAAACATGGCTGGAGATAAGCAGAGCTGGACAAGATGGGACACACAGTCACTGCATTGCAGAGCAAATCAGACTGGGGACGTGCGGTTGTGCTTTTGGGATGCTCTTACCTTGCAGCATCCTTTTTTTCCCCATTGGGCAGAGCACTGTGGGGCTGGATGAGTGAGGATGAGGAGGGAAGTGCTTCAGCATCCTGAGGATGAAACAGCTCCTGATATTTGGAAGGGGAGCCTGAAGGCAAGCCGATCTCACAGTTATGAAGAAGAAGCACTGCACGAGGCACTGGTACATTTCTTGCAGTAATTCAGCCGTGGAACAGCAAGGAACAAATAAGACAAGATGCTGTACATTAACAGAGGCAGAAGGCATAGCCTTTCCCTTGAAAAAACAAAACATTCGTCTTCCAGCTGCGGCCAGCACCCAGCCCTGAGCAACATGCAGTCCTTGGGGCCACCAGTGGAAATGGGGGGCACCAAGGCAAGGAGGGAGGTGGCCCATGGGCTCCTTCAGCATGACAAGCATTTGGATTTTAGCAGGAGGTGGGGCACTGGAAGCCTTGTGGGGTGTTTGGGATGCAGGCATTGTCTCTGCTGCTTCATTTTGCTTCTATTTTTCCTGACCTCCTCCCCAGGTAAAAGCATTTCTTTGCATTTTCCCCCCAAGGATGGTAAAAGCGAGAAACCTGCTTTGCTCACCATCCCCGACCGGAGGCAGCTGATTCAAATGCAAAGCTGAAATTTTGCTTTAAAACCCATCAAACCGTGCCAAACGCCAGCACGGTACCCGCCGGCGGGCGAGGAAAGGGCAAAAATGAGCAAAGCTGTCACATCTCGTCCCCGAGGCGAAGAGCAGCCGGAGCCGTCGTGCTGGGTCGTGTCCTCGTTTTATTTGCTGATTGTTTCTTTATTGCTTCTGGAGAAAACACGAGCCTTTTGCCCCTTCCTCTGCAAGCTCTCGTGTGGTGCCCAGCTCTGTTTTGGGCTTTCTCAAAGTTTTTGTGGTGTCTGAAGAGGGGTTGAGGATGGGGGACGGGGAGGGATGCTCCTATCCTGGCCGTTCCCAGGTGTTTGGGGCAGTTTTTTGCTATGGGCTGATAAATATTAATTCATTAACATATGGTGTGCTGAGGAAGACAAGGTGTTCTCCCCACATTGGAAATGTTGACGTCCATCTGAATGCCCAGAAAGTCACTTAGGAATGAAGAAGAATAATAAAAGAACTGCACCAGGACGAAAAAGAGCCCCATCAGTCCTGCAGGAGCCATAATTTTGAGTGACCAATGCAAATCCTGCTGGGACACAAAGCCCGTTCATTCAGCACCATTCATCACCAAGCAATTATTACCAGTCCGAATGGTTCCTCCACATTTCAATTAATAATTTGTGTTCTCTTCTTGAACCTTGCCCTAAAAACACCCACATTTTCCTGCTCAATAACAGCAGAACCCTTCTGTGGCTGTCTCTGGTCGTGTAGAAGAGCGCAAGGACATTGCCTGCAGATTGAGCTGCTCTGAATATTTACGTCGTGCTCCTCCTGAAATTATTAAAGAATAAAGCTGCATCTATTAATCACACTTTTACAGTGGGGCTCAGCTGTAAAGAAAACTCTTAGGAGTTAATAAGCAACCAGCTGTTGGCATGCAAAATAATAGAGGAGCTGTCCTTTCCCACTTCTCCTTGTGGTGGGGTGCCTTTCTCCAGCACATGGGACAGGGATGCCCAATCTCTTGGTATATCTATCTGTGAAAATAAATTTTATTTTCTTCTGAATTTTCACAAAATCCCAGCCCTGGGGATATGGGGAAATGCGGAAGGAGATGGTGTTCATACAGCTGTGAAGGGGAAAAAAATCCCAAAAACTAGGGAAAAAAAAAAAAGCCTTAAAAGACCTAAAAAATGAAATTGTACTTCTTATTTCAGCTCATGGGAGGTGGCGATTCCCATCAGCTGGCATGCCCTGGTCTGTAACCTCAGAAATACCAATTGCTCCAAGTATGGGTACCCCGAGACGGGGACGTGATGTGATGTGGGTCCCTGAACTCCATCGCTGCCGTTCCTGGGGTTAATTCCCTCAAGCCACCCGTGAGTTCTCAATTTGCTTTTTTCCACCCTGTTTTCCCTACCAAGTGCCTACAGAGCATCACAGCGAGGGACGTTTGCCCTCCCTGGCCCAGCCACCAAGCTCTCTTGGTGTCCCCAAGTGAGAAGCTCACCTCTCTTGGTACATATATACATAGGATCTCTATATGCTATTGTCGATATTCTCCACGATGAACGATTTATTGAGCTGCACCTTCCATCCACAAAGCAGTTGAAAATTCCCTGAGCCTCAAAAACGACGGGTAAGGTAGTTGGACATTTGTCTCCTCTGCCAACTTCTCATCTCAATTTTATTAGTAGTAGCGATTTATTTAAATATATATTTATATATGTATATATATATATATACTTCTGATCCCTTCCCAAGATACCCAACCCCAACCCTTGGCCGGAACCGACGTCAGTTTTTCGTTTTGAGTTTCTGTTTGGCCGGGATGTAAGGCAGCACCGTCTGGGTGCTTTTGTCGGCCACAGTCTGAGTGCTGCTGTTCCTCATCAGCCGCCGCGCCGGTGGCCCTCCACTAGTGCCACCACCATTGCCACCAACAGACGGTTGGTTCTTCGGGGTCACCTTGAGGCCCCGCTCCTCGGTGCCGTCCTCGTTTGGGGACGCTTCGTCGGCGCCATCCCCATCATCGTCGCAGCACAAGGCGTGGTACAGCACCTTGTCGCTGAAGCGGACCCGCTCCCGCGTGCCGGCTGTCCGGTGATGGGGACCTTTCTGCTGGGGAGCGAATGCCTCCTCGCTGGATGAGTCCGGGGTGCCCCCTCGGGGCCCGTTGGCGAAGGGCACCCCGCCGTTCATCAGCCGGTAGTCGGGCTGGCGGCACGGCGGGGGCTGAGGCCGTGGGGGGTCGGGGCCGTCGCCTTGGTCTGATGGGGTGGAGGTATCCAGGAATGAGCAGAATTCCCAGCTGTCGGACAGGATGTCGGCCGCTGCGAAGTCGAGGGGTCCCAGCTCGAAGGAGACCCCCCCTTTCTCGCTGCTGGAGGTGCTGCTGGCCGTCGCTGTCGTCCAATCATCCGGCTCCAGCTCGAACTCGAAGTCGGACGTCAGCCGGTCGATCTGGCTCACTACCTGTGGGCAGATGGACGGACAGATGGACGGATGGATCGGCCCTTAGCGGGAGGAGGAAGAAGCCCACCCAAAGGCATGGTGACACTGGCATACTTGTGGTGCCCTAGTAGTTCCCTGCTATTTTCTGGGGACCCCCAATAAGCTTTGGGCTGCATAGAGGGGGGTCAGAAGGCAGTAAACACCCCAAATCCCCATGCACGTGGCATCCTTTACACTCCACCATGGGGAAACAGCAGTAAAAACTGCCTGCCTTCTTCTAGTATCTCAACTCCCCAAGTGGGGAAAGTGAAGCAGGCCATCCCAAGATTGCATGATGAACACTACCCCATCACTAACAAATTGCTTGACGTACCAAGAGCCAGTGAGAGCACGGCATCCTGGGGACAGAGTGGTGCCCCATGGTGTCCAAATCTGTCTCCACATCCTTTGTAGGGTTGCTTTTCATGATTGCTTTGCCCTTCCTTCTCATCCCTCAGCCCACCCACATGTTGTTTCCTGGTGGAAGTAAACCACGAGCTTCCCAAAATAAGGACGGAAGACAAATCTACACACAGTGTCCTGCCTGACACCTTTCATCTCCTCCTCCACAGTCTGCCACCAACCCTTGCTGTATCTCCACCAGCATCATGCCCAAGGCTGTTGGTCTCTCCTCATCCACCGAGAACAAACGATCCCAGTGCTAAACCATTCCCCCATCATTTCTATAGACTTCATGACACAAGTTTTTGAACACTTTTGGAGGAAACTAAATCCTCAGGCTTCAACCTTCCATCCCATTTTCATCACAGAGGCTTTTCCTTGGTTTCTATCCCATGCCCTCGTTCTGTGCATCCTCAGCTTTGAGTCAGAGGGTCGGGTGAAATATTAAAATGCTATAAATGCACCCTAAAACCGTGTCCAGCAGCCAGGGGCTCATCTGAAGGACACAATGTGATCACTGTCCATTCTCCAGGCTCTGGCTTTAGAGGATGCCAAGAGCAAGCTGGGGCCCCTGGCTGGAGCTGCAGCACCCACAAGAAACATCTCAAATGAGAAATGCTCCCAAAGCACAACCAGATTGCTTTTTATTTCCTTACCCTTCTTGTTCTTTGGGTGAAAAAGGAGAGAAAAGAAGCCTGCGTGACTTCTTCTTTCTCAGTGACGGGAAAGAATGAGGAAGAAGCTCAGGCAAAGAGCTGTCCCTGGGAAACACCCGGTTATTATTATTTTTTAATAAGGCAGAAAAATGATTTCATGAAGCCCTCCGCTAAAATGAGATCACCTCTCTTTGCAGGAAGGCACGGCACCGGGTCCCTTTCCCAAACCGGGGGACCCTCCTCACTTCTCCCCACCACTGGGACCCCCATGGGGACGTTGGCACCTGGGAGCCAGGAGGAGCTGCGTCTCCACTGTCCCCATTGCGGTCCTTGTGGGGATTAATGTCACATCAGCTCTATTTTTAGGAGAGCCCTTCCCTGCACTTTCTATTTTAACCGGGCGGTGGGGGGGTGTTAAATACCTCCGTGACACTGGGTACCTGCTGAGGATTTGAATGCAAAGCAGGATTTGGTCTTTTCTTCCCCTCTGCTTCTTTGGATTGTCAAAGGATTTTAGCGGAGTGAGCTGGGATGGGGGCGATGGGGAGAGGCAGAGAGACCTGAACCCATGGCTATGAATGGGTTTTGGGGTGATGAATGGGCCCGGAAACTGCATGTGGATGCTGGGGCCACTGGGGTTAGCTGGGTGCCGAGAGAGGACATCCCTCACCTATAGGATGGCATGCGATAGCCTCACATTGCGCCAGGGGAGCTTCAGTTTGGACATTAGAAAGAGTGGTGATGCATTGGCTGCCCAGGGAGGTGTTGCTGTCACCGTCCCTGGAGGTGTTCAGGAAATGTGGAGATGTGGCACTGAGGGACGTGGTGGGTTGAGTGATCTTGGAGATCTTTTTCAACCCTAATGTTTCTATGCAAATTGACGGAGGTGGGCTGACTGACCAGCCGCCTCCAATCACCCCAACTGGGAACCCTGGATGCTTCCCACCCTGGGCGCCCACCCAGCAGAACAGCACAGGGAGCTTTTTTAAAGCTAACATCTGTGCACCCAGCAGGGTGGTTCCCTTCCCAGCTGGATACCTGCCAAGGGGTGACCAACAACTGGAGCACCGTTGCTTTGTTTCATTAATTATTTTTAAACGGAGTTTCGGTAACCAGCTTGGCCGCAAACGGCTCGCGTTTCGACACAGTGCCCGCGCTGTTTCTTATTCGCGAGATAATTTCTTCTGACAACTCAGCAGAGCTGCTGGGGAGCCGGTGGATGACGCGGGAGGACAAGAGGGGACTTCAAAGGCTGCGTCCGAGCGGGCGGTGCGCTCTCCCCGATGCGGGCGGCGATGGATAATGCACCTCCAGGAGAGGATGGAAGGAGCGGGGAGATGCTCACCATCAAAGTGCCGCAATCTCACGGCCCTGGCGTCGCAGCCTTTGAAGTGGAGCAGCGGTGGGATCAAAGCGGGGGGCAGCGGGGAGCTTTTGGTTCGGTGACGGGCGAGCTGTGCCTGTGCGTGTGTCATCCCACCCCAGTGCTCTCACAGTGTGGGGCAAAGCACCGGTTCTGAGAGAGGAGAGGTGGTTTTTGCGCCCCGTTCCCAGCACTGCACTCTGAATCCTCCCTGAATTGAAAATCCAACCCTCCGTTGGGAAAAGGAGCAGCCCTAAGACTCCGGCAGCCCCATGACCCTGCAGCCCTGCAGAAGGGACCTTCCCACGTCTCCCCAAACACAGTGAAGGGGAGGTAGATGTTTAATAATGAATAAATGATTAATCGGAGCTCGCTTGCAAGGAGAAGCTGGGTGACAGTGGCCTCTCTGCCCAAGCTGACACGTATAAATGAGCACACTGTGTTGTCTGTTCCAGTGCATCGAGCATCTCTGGACCATTTGCTGTATCATCAGCCACTAAAGAGTTCAAACTCATCACACACATCTTTGAAATGTGCTGTTTAAATAGCAAGCCACCCTCTCACCAAGAACTTTCCAAAGCGTTGCCAGATAATCACCTATCAATTACAACATCATTAAAGTATTTTGAAGGGGTTGTACTGTGACCTTTCCTGCCTCCAAAGGGAGGAGCAGGGGATGACCGGGTGTCACCTCCCCCGGGGGGTACAGGTATGATGGGACACTCTGTGAGATTTTAGGGGGCTTGTATGCACAACTGGAGTTGTGCAGAGATGGCATCACCTCTTCCTGCTGTGCATCCTATAGGAATGCAGGTACCAGGGGTTTGGGTATCAAGGATGAAGGATGCAGGAAAGAAGGATGCAGGCACCAGGGATGGAGGATGAGGGTAGCAGGGCTGTATAAGAAGGATGCAGGCACCAGGGATGGAGGATGTGGGGACCAGAGTTTGTACCATTGGTGCAGGTATGGAGGATGGAGGATACGGGTACCAGGGACGTGGGTACCAAACATATGGGTACCAGGGATGGAGGATACAGGTACAAAGGGCAGAGGATGTGGATCCTGCTCAGCGGAAGCACATTTGGTCCTGGCCTCCTGTGTAATTTTTACTTCCAGTGTGCGATCTCAGACGAAGATTTAATAATCATTTTCCCCTCACATAATACAGCCCTGTCGTGGAGCACTGGAGAATAATTATATACACAAAAGGGAAGAGGGAGGGAGGGAGAGTGGGAGAAAAGACTGGTAAAACAGCATCCCCGATACAATGGACATCTGGAATGACAGCCTTCAGAGAGAAAACAATATCAGGAGTGAGGAATGAGCAGGGATGGGTGCAGAGAGAGAAGAGGAGAAGATAGATGTCCCCAGAACCCTACGGCTGGTCGTCAGATTTGTGCTGCAGGCAGCTTGGGATGCACCCCTTGGGTGCAAATAAGTTGTCCCCTGTCCTGCTTGTCTCCTCCTGCAACTCCTGGAATGGGAACCTCTCCAGAGCCCCTCACACCTGCCCTGTGTCCTCAGACCACCTTCTCCTCTTCCCCACCTGGATTGAGCAGCCTATCAAAGGGTGCTGCAGGGATGCTAAAGGACTTTACAGGCCCAAAAGTTGAATGGAGACCAAAGAGTTAAGCTCTGAAGCACTCAGAAAGGATGCTCAGGTGCATGCAGAGGTCTCTCCTGGCTTTAAATACATGGGCTTTATGAAAGGGGCACTGAAGCAGCTGTGAATTGCCATTTTTAAAGGCCTCTCGAAGCTCCTAGAGGAGAGCAAAGTGAGTTCAGATCAAACAGAAAACAGCTCTGCCTCCTGATTATATTATTATTATTATTATTATTATTATTATTACTATTTTCAGTATGTCAGGGATTTGTCAGAGGGGTTCTAGGCTGTCCCTTTGGAGCTGAAGGAACCAGGGGCCTTTCTACCCTTGGTGTGCTTAGGTTTGCTTTCTGCAAAGGAAGAAGAGCTCTGGTGGGGCGATGAACTGGGATGTGGCATCACCTGGGGACCAGAGCTGGCTTTCCCAGGGGACTGACCTCTCTAAAGCCCCATGGAATGAGCAGAGCTATCCCAACGAAGGCCCCAGGAAAAGCGTCACGCTGGTAGGTGTCACACCTCCCTGAGCATGGCCACGTCTACACTAACTATGCTGTCAGTCCACCTGCATCCCAAGAGCTCCAGCTGGCTTCTGGGGCCTCCGTGTGACCCCCACATGGTCTCTATCCATGACCCCTCAGCAAAACCTGCATTAATTTCTTCCTATCCCTCACAGAAATGAGCCCTCACCCATTCCAACAACCCAGCCACACTTGGCTCAGGGCACACAGCCATCGGCCCCATCCCAAAACTAAGCCATGCTCAAAGCCACCACCACATTCCCAATCAAGACGTCCACAGCTCATGGCCACAAACAGGTCTGCTTCCCAAACACACTGGGGCTGTGCAGCCCTTCCACAATTAAATTCCCCATCACTGCACCTCTGGACCAACTGGAAGCTCAAACCACACTTTGTATGGATATATACACATTTTTTGCCTGCAGAAAAGAGCCTTCTGCTGTGTCTCCCTCCACAGAGTCGCCACCCCTGGGTCACCAGCACGAGGGATCTGTCACCTCCTCTCCATCCACCCCTGTGCTTTGAAACAGAACCCTCCCAGGACCAAGCATCAGAGCACCCCAGTTTCCCCAAGATTTGCCCAGCTTCAGCTCTGTGTTCCAAGCTCTTTCCCAGCATCTATGGGGACGGGGCAGCATGGCCCCAAGCATCAAGGTCAACAGCAAATTTCTCCAAATCTGGCTTATTTTCCCCCACTTTTTGGAAGTGATGCTGGTGAGGACGGGGCTGGGACGGGGTGCAGCCTCAATCACCCCATCTCCTCGTACCCCTGTGCTGCATCCCACCCGGCATCCTCTCCTACCTCCCGGAGCTCCTTGGCGACCTCCTTGAGCTCCTGCAAGATGCCTTCCAGTTGCCCGATGACCATTTTCATCCGGCTGCGGATCCTCTCCCTCTCGCCTTCGCTTTTGCCGCTGCTACAATTGCTGCTGCTGCTGCTGGGGGGGTCACTGGGCTGCCTGTCCTGGCAGCTCCGGGAGTCCATCCTTTCCTACCGGCCTCGGCTCCCGGCCCCAAGGGCTCTGTCCATCCTGCGACCCCCAAACCCGGTGGCCTGGCGTCCGCGCAGCCCCTCTCGGCCGGAGAGCTCTCACCATCTTAACGCTCCCCAGGAGTCCCTGCTGGCCTCCCCGCCTCACCACCGAGGCCGTTGTCGGGGGGCTCCGAGCCGCGGTGTGGAGCAGCGGGACGGCTGGGGGCTGCTCCAGGCAGCATGCAGAGCCGGGCGGTGGGTGAGGGGGGGCTCAGCCGGCGGCCGTGGGGATGCACAGGGGGACCATGGAGGAGGAGGATGAGTCCCTTGGATGTCCCAGGAAGCTAAAATCCGGCGGATGGAGCTTTTCCTGCTCGTTGGGGATGGGGAAGGTGATGCAGGGCCGGGTGCCCCCCAGAAATGGTGCAGCCACCCCACGTTGGGCCCTCGCTCCAGGGCCGGTGGCTCCGATGCGGAGCGGTGCTGAGGGGCTCCGGGTTTCCCTCCTGCAGGGATAGACAGACAGTGAGGGAGCCAGCCCTGGTGGGGATGGAAAAACGGGGAGGGGAGAAGGCACTGTATAACCACCCCCCCACCCTTGCTTTGAGACATGCAGACGGGGGTCTCGCTGAGCCAGATGGACGGACAGGCAGACAGATGGACAGACAGACAACCTGGAAACTTACCGGCGCAGAGGTGAGCAGGCAGCCAGATCCAGATCACCCTTTTCCAGCACCTGGCTCCACTCCAAGCTCTTCCTCGTCCTTTTAGTATTTTTTTTTTCTTCCTTCCTCCCCCTCCTCCTCTTCCTCCTCCTCTTCCTCCTCCCTCAGGGCTTCTACGTGGAGGCTGGGGGCCACCTTCTCTTGGCTGCTGTCAGAAGGGGTGAGATGTTACCTGAGGGTTCTGGGGGAAGGGGACATCCCTTGGGAGCCCTCCACTTTAAGAGGGGTCAATCAAAACGCCTCCTCAGCCCCATCTCTTCCCTCAGGAGGTAGGGAAATGCACTGAGGCAGAGTGGGGAGGGGGGGCATGGTAGGGAAGACCGGTGTGATTGCATCCTCTGAACCCGTTACTCTCATCTTGCATCCCTGCTACTTGAATCCTCCATCCCAGTGCTTACATCCTCCATCCCCTCCACCTGCATCCCTGCATCCTTGATCCTTGGTATCTGCATCCTCTGCCCCCAGTGCTTGTATCCTCCATCCCTGGTGCTCACCACCCTGGTACCTGCATCCCTGGTACCCACATCCGTGGTGCTCACATTCCTGGTATCCTCATCCCTGGTACCCTCATCCTCCATTCCACCATCCCCTGTTCCCACATCCCCGGTTCCCACATCGTCCGTCCCCTATTCCCGCATCCCCCTCCCGTTTCTCCCCATTCCCCCTCCCTTTACTCCCCCCGGGACCGACCGGCCGTAGCGATGCCGGTTCAGGGCCGGCCGCCCCCTGGGCTCCGGGGGGGCGGAGCGGGGCGGGCGGCTCCCGGCGCCCCGGGCAGAGCCATGGGGCGGGGGGGGGGAGCGGCGGTGGGCGCCCGGCCCCGGCCCGGCCGCAGCCTCCCCGCGGCTCCCGGTTCGGCTGCTGTGTCAGAGAAAGGGGCCGAGCCTCGGCGGGCGGGGGGGGCTTAAAGGAGCCGGGAAAGCCTTTAGAATAAATGAGGGGAAACTGAGGCACGGCTGGGGATGGGGCTGGATGATGGTGGGCTCCGCTTGTCCCCGCTCTGACGACACCATCAGGGTGCAAAACGCACCCCGCTGCTGTGAGGTTTGGTGCAGTTTTTGAAGGAGTGGCTAAAAAACAAAGACGGATCGAGCACGAAGGCATCATGCAGCAAAAGGGCAGGAGGAGAAGCAGCACCACAGGGCTGAGCGTGGCTGGTTTGGAGGAAAACGAGGGAGAAAGGAAAAGGATAGGGCTGGAAGGGATTCAGCGGGGCTGCAGGCGAGATTTCCCCGTGCAGAACCCGGACGATAGGTGGCAATCCCAGGTCTACGCGAGGCAAAGCAGCGTGCGCCTACGTGTCTGATATATTGCCTCCCCCCAGCTGCGTGCAGAAGTGCTGAGCACACTTTTTGGCTGGCGCCCGACCTGACTCATCCTTCACCCAGGGCTCCCTGAGCTCACCCCGAGCCAAAGCCCAGCCCCGGGTGGTGCTTTGGGTGCACTCTGGATGCCCACGGGTCTTTGGGGTTAGGGTCCTGCCATGGGGCACCCAACTCTCATCATCCCTACGATGGATCTGTGTTTTTCTGGATGCCCCACCATAAAGCAAGCGAGGCCGAAGGCTCCTGCGTGATCCTCACCATCCCAGGTGCCCATCGCTGCTGTGCAGCCTCCCTGCCGTGACTCACTGGCACAGATGTAATTCCTCATTAAGCAGCGCTTCTTTTCACAGCCATTTCTTTCTGTTTCTTTTGTATTTTGATTGGAGTGCCAGTCAGTTTTTCTTCTTTCCCACCAGTTTATCAATTCCTCCTCTCCCTAAAGGGAGGGATGAGGGAATGCAGAAAGATGTGCTGAGCAAGGAAGCGCCTCAGGTCCCAGCCAGTGGGGGAAAACCTGCAGAGAATTATGTTAAGAAACAGCAACAGAGCGAGAAAAAAATACCCTAAAAAGCTGTGCTTTCAGCAATATCTCAAAGATCTGCTTTTTGCTCCATCTCACTTCCCATCCCCAGCCCATCCCCGCAGGCGCTCAAGGCCAAGTTGGATGGGATTCTGGGCAGATTGATCTGGTGGGTGGCAATCCTGCCTGTGGCGTGGGATTGGAACTACGTGATCTTTGAGGTCCCTTCCAACCCAAGCAACTCTGTGATTCTATGGCTTGGACCTGTGGGACCCCTCCTGCTGCTCCAATGGGAGAACTGCCTTTGGATGCTGATGGAGGAATGGACTTTAGCCAAAAGGTGGTGTGGAAATTCACATCTGCACCAAAACGCCGTTGGGGTGCTCAGTGCAGGCATTGGCTTACATCCTGATCCTCACCATGAGTGCTGGTGGACAGGTGGGATTTTGGGGGGAGATGGCCCACGTGTGGTCAAGCTACCCTTGTTTTGGGGAACGATGGTTTTTAGATGTTGTAAATACAACCAGGCCACGTGTTGTGTTGCAACTGGGCAATTTTGGGTTGTTTTCAAGCGTATTAAAAGAAAAATCTCTGAAAACGAAGCACTGGAGTGAGCATGATCTCTCAAATGGACTGATTGGTTGGGAGTGCGTGTGGGAATATTCCCAGGTGCTTCCAAACTCCTTCCCTGAGATAAATGCTTTGTTTGAGTGACTTTGTATCCCCATGGAAAATGTGCATCCCATCCCATCCAGCTGCTGAATGTGGTTTATTGGCTTGTTGCACAGGCAGTGGGCAATGGGCCACTCCAAGGCTGCTCAGGGCTCAGATGCATCCCACGTGGAAATGCAGGTATAAAAGGCTTCCAAGAGCCCCAGCAGCTCCTCAAAGCGAGAGGGTTTGGGGGTTTACAGCGATGGGAGAGGGTCTCTGTGCTGCTGAACGATGAGCAACCCCCCAAAAGGGGCTCTTCTCCATGGGATCTGGGCTTTTGGGGTTTCTGTCTTCATCTGCAAACAGACAGGGCTTGTGTTGAAGGATGAGATGAAGTAGACAGAGAGCAGGGAGAACAAATATTAGTGCTCTTAATGGGTTTTTGTTTTACTGGCTGAAAGGCTATTAATCATCCCAGTGAGGGCAGTGGAGCCTTAGAGGGGTTTGTGAAGCCTGTAGTGGGCTTGTGCTGGAGGCTCACCAATGCAACCTGCAGTGGGAAGGAGCTTGGTGTGAGCTCTGAGCATCTGGGAAGGGAGTTCCCTAGATGAGAGAAGTGTAAAAATGTACATTTTTTGCTCTGGTAGTGTAGTAGAGGAGTTCTCTAGGGAGAGGTAGGCTCCAGTCTGCAGGTAGGGCTGACAACCATGGGTACTGCTGGGTGGTATTGCTGTCCTGTGCCTCAGTTTCCCTTTGGTTCTGTGTTTTGGTGAAGGTGTTGGGAGGATGGTGAGCAGCAGGCGGTGAGCTGGGGACAAATACGATAAATAGTTTCTAAAGCTGAAGTTTAACATCCCAAAGCACCTGCTGGGGTCAGGAGTTAAAAGATCTGTTCTTCCCCCACTTGCTTGTATGTGGCTGCCTTGTTCGGGGTGGGGGCTGGCTGCTGTATTTTAAGCATAAATCTTTATTAATGGTGCTGGATTGAAGAAGCTGTGCCTGGCTCTGACAACCTGGTACTGGGGAGCAGAGCTGCGGCAGGGCTGGAGCTCCATGACTTTTCCTACAGCTTTTCCAAGACTTCCCAAATAAACTCTGAAAGCAAAACTCCTCCTTCTCCTGAAGCCTTGGGTTCGAGCTTTCCAGCTTCCCTTGCACTTTCCTTTCCCTTCGAGGGATGAAGCATCAGCAATGATGCTCTGTGACCGAAATGCTGACTGAGACCAAACCACATCTTATTTTTTTCCTTTCCCCTTGCTTGACATCTCGTACCAGGAGTGGGACAGTGCCAGAGGTGCCCTTGGGAGCAGTTGGCTTGGTGCTGTCCTTGGGGGCATCCTTCTCAAGGGGAATCCCAAGCAGATGGGCTCAACCTGTGCCAAGGGGACCTTGTGCTAATCTCATTGCTTGCAGGATTAGTCCAGCTCCTTGGGCTTCATTTACATTTTTAAAAGCCTTGTGGTGACCTTATCCATGTTTCTGGCTCTTGTCCTTTCTCTGTAGCTCTGTGGGCACTGAGCTCTGCTTGAAGATGCTCCAATGTGGCTAGATGTGGGAGACAGCTGTACATAGGAAGGACAAAATGGAAAGATTAGGGGGATGTGCTGGCTGGTTTGAGAGACCCTGGGTGAAGTGTGAGGGTGCTGGGTCTCTAATTTTACCAGTTGAGCATGCCATAGAATCATAGAGTCGTTAAGGCTGGAAAGGACCTCTAAGATCCCCCCAGTCCAACCCCAAGCCATCCCATTGTGCCCAATGACCACGTCCCTCAGTGCCACATCTCCATGG